ACACTGGTAGACTGTTAGAGGTGAGAGAAAATTTTCCCTATATAAAGCAGAAGAAACAAAGCTGATAATTTAAAATAGCCCATAAAAGCATAAAATGGGATGATTTTAATGTTCTGAGTATGTATTGATGGAGACCATACCACTTGTTATTCTATTTCTAGTCTAGTATACTTTCACAAAGATTGCATCTGGGTTGAGTATGTTCTCTAAATAAGTTAAATATCCAAGTGAAGAAATGAGATAACTTTTTGAAAAGCTAATTTTCACTTAGAGATATCTAAAATCTTACTTCTAAGCATGAGTTCAACATCTGAATTGATATCTATATCAGTCTAGACACCAGCAGGCTTATTTCTCATAAACTGATTTTTGAAAAGCTTTCCTCTTTGGTCACAAAAACTGTGAAATTGTGGCACCACATCAGTGAAAGTCAAACAATCATGAACAAAATCCTGTGGCTTCAGACAATGAATTAGAGTAGTATCAAAGTAGCTTTTCATTTTTTATCATCTTAATATTTTGATTTTTCTTACAAGTTCTTTCTGAAAATAGTTCTGCTAATACTTAGTGCATGAACAAATAAAAGAATTCCCATCCTTTGAATTCTTTGGGAAACCATTACATTTTTCAATTGTGTATGACATGCAGCATGCATATTTGTGTGTAAGTATCAATCATCACAAATTTATGTAATGTATTCTGCAAGGGTTATCATACCCTTGTTTTATCATGGCTACAGTTGTGACCAGTTCTATTGTTATTTTACCATATGACAATGTACCTGCTTCTATCATGTTCAGCAGCCATTCAAACTATGATGAACTTCTGTGAATGTGGCACTGCACAGACCTTTGGCCCAAGGTCACCACGGAGAGAACATGCCAAACTGCCCCCGATGACAACTTCTCAGAAAGGAGTGTGACCCTTTGCAGTTGGTGACTGGCTGGGCAACATGCCAAAGCACGAGCACAATTGTAAAGGTGCACTCCAACACTTGGTGAACAGGGGTTCTTGCATGTTTTAAACAAAATGGGGTGATTTCAATCTATACATTCTCAATATTTTAAGTTTCAGTACAAGTTTCAGGTTAAAACTTGAAAGAAAAAAAAGTGATGGGGTTCTTTTGGTTGCTGATTTTTTTTTTTTTTAATTAGACTAAACATTCCCCTTGCCCATCCTTTCTTCCAAGGGAAGGAAAAGAAAAACAACTCCGGTCAAAGACTGCTTTTCCTTTTCCTCAAGCTATTCTATTTCATCAGTTCAGTACACCTTTTCAACCTGTTTTCTTTACTGCCTGTCTTGCAATACTTACTCATCACAGTACATAGTATAAGATCAAAGCACTGCAGGATTTGGCCCCACTATTCCTGTATTCCATTAATTTTACAATCAAGTCTTGGCTACCAAGGTGAAGTCCGAAATTCTAAAAACACTTCTGGCTTTGTATTTCTGATGTTTAGCCTAATAGAGTTACCAGGTACATGTTACCTTAAAATGGATTGTTAATGACAATATTTTACAATTAACAATAAAAAACCACACTCCAAACCCAACTCCTGTTGCAGACTATTTTAATAAAGGGATTATAAAATACAAAAGAGAGAGAGACAGGTAACCTGAGATGCAATTTTGGAATGCAAACTTTTAGTTCAAATGTGCAAGCTCGAACTTAACAAATGTTTAAAATATTTGAGTTTGTCAAATGGTGCCAAAATAAACCCTGTCTTTTCTAAAGACTATATATTTAGCTAGGCACTGGCAATGTAAATCTTTCAACCATTTCAAGTATTTGTTTAAAAGCCTCACAGAACACGTGGGCTCCCAACAAAACTGAAAAATGAAATGTTTAGAACACTGAAGCTCAACAGCTGACTTATAATCAACCTAATATGCGAACACTACTTCGATTTTTTGAACTTGTGAATACATTTTATTTACCGATGCATGAGAAGAACAAACAGAGAAAGTCCATTTCTGCAGACCTGATGTGAAATGGTAGAGTGACAAGAGTCAGTACATGTAATGCTGCGATCACAGCAAGCGCAGTATCAGAGAAACTGCCCGTCGGTGCTTTCATGTGCCTCACAGTTTATTCTTGCATGGGAGAAAAATATTCTGCGGTATAGATTAAAAAGAAAAAACCAAAACAAACCTAACAGCCTTAATATGCAATTATTCTAAATGAAGGAAATAAAGGCACAGAGAAATCCTATCTAAATAGATAGGAGTTCATTTGTATTTATAGATTAAAGATGCTAAGAATATACATAGTCAATCTTGTAAAATGTCCAGTGATTTGGAATAAATAAACGAATAAATGTGCTAGAACAATATATTGACATCACTAAACTATTTTGATAGGATGACTTATTTATAAAAACAGTTTTAATATTCCCTTACATTAATGATTAACTAATGAATTTTACTTTGTTGTGAATATATTTAAAGAGGAATCAAACTGACTTCAGTTACAGGACTCCACTAACAAGACTGAGCTGCCTCTGAACTTTCAAATATCAGCAGTTTTCGCAACAGTAATACAGAAGACCATGCAACCAGTTTTGGGCTGTGGGCTGAATGAAAAATAGTACTAAAAGACTAAAGGTCCACCATTCTTTTCTGTTAAAGTTGATTTGTCACAATATTGTTAATTAGTGAGGGCTTAGAGAAGGCTTACTAGGAATATAATTACAGTGCAGAAAAGCATTAATAATGCTCTTATCCCAAGCCAACATGATGCTATTTACATATTTTACCCTGGCATATACCAGAAATGGCTCCCAATGCATAACGTGCTGCAGGATCATCAAGAGAAAGACACAAAATCTCACAGGGGAAGGATGTTTCTGAGTATCTCAGTGCTCTTCAAGATAGCAGGGACCCTAATTTGGCCAGTAATTACAACCGTCACCATAAGCATCACCTTGGTGAGCCACTTTCATCATGAACTGTTGTTCCATTGGGAACCAAATGAATTGGTACTCCTCGTACGTAATTGGATACCATCTCATCCTTCTCTCGTATATTAGGACAGAAGTGACAATTGCATTTCTCTGCTGTATAAGGGCAGGCTTCTTTTCACTTTCGGAGCGCTGCAGAGACATCAATCTGTTCTCAATGAATAAATCATACACTAAAAGCCAATTAACCCATGTTATCATTATCGCCTATTTCTACTCACCAGAGCAGAATTCCGACCCTTGTTACACTGAAGGGCAAAAGTCAGACTGGGCTCAACAGGGCCAGAAGTTCAGCCAAGGGCACTAAAGGCTGGGCCTCCATTACCAGACCTGTGTGACTTTTGCTGTTCAGTTCAGTGGGTGAAGAAGCTGAAGTGTTTTGACATTAGCCACAGAGATGCTTTTGCAAACTCCCTGGAGGAGCGCAGGAGCCTCTTCAGGGGCTGCATACTGTTAATGACAGTCACTAAGGAATTTGCCAAAGACCACACACCAGGTTGTTAGCAAGGAAGAGTGAGAACCCAACTGTTTCTGAACCGTCACCTCTCAGCACAGTAAATTTCCCAAGGTCCTTTTCAAAGAAGACAAACATTTCCAGCTGAATTTTAAAGATCAACATATGATTTAATTATGATTCAAATACATTTATCTACATTTGTCATTTATGACAAAACACCCTAACTAAAATGCTCACTTAATTTCAGGTGGTTTTGTAGAAGACATAAGTCAGAGTAGGGAACTATTTTTTCACCTTAGGTACAATGTGTCAAAAGGAAAATTATGAAGCAACTATCACTTAAGTATTATTACCCGGACCCAGATCTATCTGGCATCATGCCTGCTGGATGGCTTTTGCCTGGCTAATCCCACTTTTCCAAACAACAGGCTGGAGGTCAAGCAGTCTGGCTGTATGAAGTCTGCTCTCATGAGATTTTTCACCTGGAGGCAGAAATACATGGGGAAGGTGACAAGGAACTTAGCACATTCATGCATGGAGAACAAGCCCTGATTTAGTAAACTTGCATTTTCAAAGCAGCAAACATCTTCCTCATCAAAGATGCCGAAGAGTAAGAGGGAAGATCTTCAAATTGAAAAATAAGTAGTTCAAAACTAGATTAAAACAATGGGTAAGAATAAATGTATCATTTTTACAGTGAAGGAGAAATTACCTCAAGTTACAGGGATCTTTGTCCCAGAACCCATGTTCAACTTCACTAAGAAACCACCTTGAAGAGGCGGTAATTTGGAGATGGCAGTATTTCATATCACCATATGGAGATGCTGATGATACTATGGTACTGTGAGTATTAAAGAGAAGTTGTGAGAAGAGATGGAAGAGGAGCTCATGGTCTTCAGGGAATGCATGCTAAAACAATAGATGACATTCAGCATCCATAAATGTGAAATTATGCATTCAGAAAACAGTTCTGTGTTCATACACCTTATGATGAACTCACAGCTGAATGTTACAACTGAGGAATGAGATCTAAAGTTGTTATTACTATAGAAATATTAATACCAATAAATAATCTGCCATAAAGTAAATCCAATGCTAAAAATGATTACAAATAGCATAGAGAATAAAACAGACAACATAATCATGGCAACAACCAGTCACTTTTTGTCCATATCTTGAATAGCAGGCATAAATCTGGTTGTATCTCAGTGAAAACACTGCAGAGCTGGAAAAAATAGATTAGCATGACAAGGCCAAATAAAAACATGAGACAGCTCCTTTATAAGAGACTAAGGTTTCTCTCTGGAAAAGAAAAGCAGGGGGGAAATGATGCCAAATATGTCAAATCACAAGGAATATGGAAATAATGTGAACAGGGAATGGTTACTCACCATTTCTCTCATACAACAACTAGGTGATAGCAAATGAATACAGTTGATTCATAACTAAGAAAACAAAATATTTCTCCACTCAATGCATCATTAACTGCATAAGACCTTGTGACAGGAACAAGTAGATAATAAAAATTTAAATGGAATAAAAAACAGGTCATGAAAAAATGCTGCTAAATACAAAGACTTAGAAAGCCCCTAAATAACAAATTGCTGGGAGACCAGCTGGGAGAATGGTCACCAGCGCTAGCCTGACTTTATACCCTTTCCTAGGCATCTTCTATTTGTTATGGCCAAAGGCATCTTCGAGCTTTGGTCTAGAACAGTATGGTAGTCCTTACATTTTTATCTTAATTCCTTCCTCACTACTTCCTTAGAGCAGAAATGGTTCGACAGCACTGACAGGTCAGGAGATCTTGTCATTCACTTAGTGCATCAAAGCTCAATGAAGACAGTAGGACAAAGAGCAGTTGAATCACCCAAAGTGCTGAGCAGCAGCACAAGGGTGATGGTGAAGGAATTGGAACTGGGAGGGGTGGGGGGGGTGGCAGTCCTCTGGTCTGGAAGCATTAAGCTTTCTTCCCATTGAATAGGTGTGGGGGAGAGGCTCCGGACTCACTAGCTATCTTAGGGTTGACCAAAGGTCAGAAAGGAGAATTTCAGAAGCTTCTAGGAGTGACTTGGGTAAATTTGGCTTGGAGGGATGCTACTTATCTCCCTGCAAGGGGTTAAGTTTGGTCAGCTGAAACTAGGGGGAGCTTAGGTCTGCAGATGAGGAAGGTTTAACATGTAATTGCTTGAAAGAAAAAAACAGACATTAAAATGTCTCTCTCTCTACTCAAAATTAAAAATGTCTCTCTCTCTACTCAAAATTAAAATTTCATTTTCTCCAGCTGAACTGCACTATTAAAACAAGCAAGCATTAAGAGAGAAGGCCATGTAACAACATTAAACACAAAGCAAAGCAGGCAAGTGGAAACCTTAGGAGCTACATCCACCTTGCCTGAGCTGGCTGGTTCTGGGAGTATCTTAAAGCCTATCTAGCTCCTGAGATTCATTACTGAATTTGGGGTGCTTGGAGATTACAGTTGCCTTCTTGAGCAGGTTTATAAGAGTGCTGACCTGACCGTTCATACAGGGAGATGGATGGGTCACAAATATAACTCTAGGTCCAACTCTCCTGTATCTCTAAGGTCTAAAATGTTTGTCTACCCCAATTTTTCCTCTTTGGTCCTCAAATTTCCCCCTCCCTGTAAGATTCCATCTTTCAGCCTTTGAGTTAAATCCTAGGGCACTTGGTGAGTAAACAAAAGCAGAGGGTTGGCAATTTTGCCTGAAACCCAACCTAGATGGTAGTCCTGCACTGTAGAGCAATCAGAGGTCTATAAGAAGCAGGCAAAAAGTCTTGTAGGAAAGGGGTGAGAAAAGATGAACACTGAAAAGGAAAATTTTGAATCCATAAGGTGCTTTCTGAATATCTGAGAGCTTTTCCTCATAGGAAAGAACAAAGGAGTGACTGAAAACAATATAAGAAACTTCCTCCACTCTCTGAGATACTGTATGTCACAAGGCTTTCATGTTGCAATTTATTAAGATGCATCTGTAGTGAAACCTAACTGTAAATTTCTTTTTTAATGTACACTGAAAATACCATGTACTAGCATAAGCTATTCAACTGCTGTATAAAGCTATACATTTATCCTGCCCTTTGATGTAGCCACAGTCACTAGCTGCAATTCAATGGGCTATGAGTAAGGAGGAAAAAATATCCAGTATAGTAGCCAGAGATATTCCTTGAATGCCAAACTACTTTATCAATTAATATATTTAACATACAAATACTGGACTGTTTGCAGTCTCATAAATAAGAAGGAATTTAAATTTTGAAACTGCTTTGCAGGATTTTGAACCTGAAGCATTTAAAAAATTGATCAAGCTGTGCCTTGAAGCAGACTATACTGACAGGACAGATTGTTCGAATAAGCATCTACATCATTTTTCACAGTACACAGTGCCACAATGCACTTGCTTAAAAACAAATACGTTTGCAATGAAACATTTCAACAAATCACAAAACTCAGCAGCAAAGTAGTTAAACATTTATGATTTGATTTTATCTCAGCTTGGAATGTCGCTGGAGTGTCCCACTTCTAACAACTGTTTGCTAAGTTAAGGCTTTAGTGTTTACACAGTGCTGAATGAAGCAGCCTGGTCACCAGATGTGAATGCTTCCTTAGACTACAGCTTTCAATCAGATCACGGTCCTAATGGTCCCTGCTCCAACCTTCTTCCTCAGGACGTCCACCAGCCTTTCCAACCTGAGAGGGGGCAGGGAAGAGGGAGAGGAGAGAAAAAAAAGGAAACTAATGTTAGGAATGTTCTGGCTGAAAGAGACAGTGTTTGCACTGAACCAAGCTGTCCTGGTGGTGGTCATGCTCAGAAACAAAGCACTACTGTAAAAGACAGACACTAAGGGAAAATGCAGACAACTTACAGAAAACTTTTTAACCCTACAACCCAACCCATCTGCAGTCAGTGAAATATATCAGCTCACTCTTCTTTTGTAGTATATGTAATATCTGAGGTCCCCATAAGGCATTAATACAAAACTCTGTGCAGTAATCCTGCAGGACATATACACTTTGGTGTAAGCAGGACAATCAATTTTTGCACTTTTTAAAATATGAGTGGTCCATGGTTCTTGTTAAATGTAAACTTAACCGTTGTTTCCTCTTAAAAAAAATATCTTGCCTATTATCCAACAGATACTTCTATTGTTCAGTTTATAAATTTATGTCTAAAACCCCATGGAGTTTATGTCAAAAACCTTTTCAAAATACTCAACAAGACAAGTTTCTGAGGATGTGGAAGATGATATTTTGAAGGTGGTCTGGATGATTCTTGTGTCGACACAACTACAGAAAAACTAACTGTCTAAATAAGTAGGACAGAAAGATGCCTAATCCTGCCTTAGTTTTAAGGCACAGGCTATAAGCATGTTCAGAATCTCACCAGCCTAATTTCTTCTTTCCTTCTGTTAAAGTATGTAGGCAAATGCAAAGGACTAAATTTGTTCAGCATTTTCCATCTCCACGTGTTTATCTCCAGCACTCCAGTAATCAATCATTCAATCTATTTCTTCAATTTGTCTGTATTTTATGGAATCCTTCAGTGAAAGCTCTCTGACAAATAAACTATCTATATAAAAGTAGATTCTGTGTGTAGCAGAACACTTAGAACCATGTCCAGATTATCATACACACAACTTCCATAATAGATAAACAGACTTGCAGCTTCAAATAGCTGTATTCACTGGTACAAAGTTGAGCACTTTATCTGAAAAGACAATTTTGTTTTCTTTTTTTTATATATATATATATATATATGATACAACATGAGAAATGCAGATAGGAAATAAAAATAGCACAGCTTTATCAAAATTGCAAAATCCATTTTATCTCATGGATGCATTAGTAACTTCAGTGCAGGTAAACTGGTTAACATGGATTTATTGCCACAAGTCATGACTAATGCTCTTGGTACGTATTGAAACACTCTTGTTTTCCAGGAACCACCAAGCACGATGAAGCTACACCTTTCATTGTACTCACCAGGTGACTTAATTCCTGAAATGAGATTAAGCATTCACCACCCAAATGTAATCATGAGACACCAGGAAACGTATGTGGAAAGTTCAGCTACTTCTAGCTGTTCCACAGGGACTCTAAGGAAGTGAAAGCACAGGTGAAAAACTACTGCTTACATACTCCTCTCCCTTCAGTTTTCCAATAGTTGCTTTTCCTTCTTAACCAACTAATGCATTTTTCCTGGTTTTGTAACATACATTTACTGCACTTCTTCATCTTTATGGAAGCAGCACCCAGACAGTCATAACTCAGTGCAATCAGTCCATGCAAGTATAAAGTCAGGGATTTCACAAGTTATTCTCTCCTGAAAGTTTTCTCACAGAATCAATGTTTTCTGAGTTCTAAGGGTTTTAACTCAGTTACTGACAGGTCACAGTTTCCTCAGCCTTCCCTTGCTGGGAAATTTCCCTGTTGAATTAGTTGCCAGTCTATGTGCAAGTTCAGAAAGTAATGGCAGATTAGTCTTCTCTTTTAATAGCATGTATATTCAGAAGCATGGCAGCTTTCTCGGACACTTTATTGCTGTAGGTCTCACACTAGTACCCTATCTAATGTGCTTCAGAGACATAAAGCACTGGAGAAACATTTCAAAGTGTTTGGACCAACAGAAGGTTTGGGCTGCAAACTTTTTCTGGGAGGCAGCATAAAAATAGTAAAATTTGAGATCATGGCTTATTTAGATCACTGTTCAGTTAAAAAGAAATACTGTGTGGCTTATACAAGGGAGGGTGGATATGACTTCAGTATTTGAGGCTCCTTTTGGGGAGACACACGTCATTGCCTAGATAACTGTCCTATGATTGAGTTTGGATGTGCACCACTCTGTGACCAAGCAATGGCACTACACACCAGAGCAGAATAAGTTAGTGAAGAGCTGCCCATGTTTGAAGAGAAATATCACTGGGATGAAAGTAGCTGTCTTCTGTTTAACCTTGAAACTGTCAGGCTTCATTGAAAATAATGAGGCTTAACAATCATAGCTTCTGCTTTTCAAATGAATGATGACTGAAATCATCAAAATGAGGTATTCCTCACCAAACACACACCATGCAGGGCTTATTTGCCTTTTGTTTCAGTCATGTGTGGATTTTCAAATGTATTTATTTTCTATTAGAAGGGGAAAAAAAGCAACAGTGGATTAAGATACTGTGCCTTTCAAAGAGATTTAAAGAATAACATAAAAAAGAAACTGTAACAGCTATTTATAAGGTAACAGAGGGCAAAATTTACCCCTACACAGATACAAGACCCAATATACCACTGAAATCCCAGTTAAGCCTACAAAATAATGCCATGGGCTGAATGAGTGGCTAATAACTCTTGATACAAGCCTCAGGGGGCTTTTTGGAATGATAATCCTGGACTCCTTGTTCACCCAGAGCCCAAGTCTGCCATCCCAACTCACACTAAGCAACATTTTTCTTTGTGAGGAATAAAAGGCTGCTAAAAAGGCTGTTTGTGCCAATGAGGTGCTACCTGCAAGGGGCGAGGGTGGCAGAGTCACCCCTTGTCGATAAGGCTTTGTGTCCAGCCCAGTGGGATGCTGCAGGCAGCTCCCTCTGGAGACTGAGCATTTTAATCTGTGGAAAACTGCAGTAATAATCTCATACCTCAAGATCAAAGATAACTTAAATATTGAAACAGAAGAATGGAAGGTGCTGGGAACTAGTCTCAGTGTTTGCAGAGTTTTATTCAAAATATGGAAGACTGACCTGAAGAAAGCAACTTCTGTTACTTTGTACCACTGTGATATAACTGTCACCATAATTTCACCACATTTTACTTAGCTGAAAGCAGTACTGACTGTGTTTGTTTGTATTCTAAGACAAAGAATTAACAAATTTGTGTTTTTGCTTGTGAAGAGTCCTCATGGTATAAATTAAATGTGCAATAGGACACTTTCTCCTGAGATGTAAGCAAGGACACTCACTGAATTTGCATCTCATGAAGCAACCAAACAAGTAATTCAAGAAGGAGTTGTATTTTAGATCAGACAGAAGAATGATATGGTGGGTGGGCCACTTTGTTGCAGTGTTGAGGGTCCAAATGTGCAAGGACAGACACTCACCTTTAGGAATGTTTATAAAAGCCTCTTAAGGGATCACTCTCCATTCTCACAGTTTTCAATTTCTTGCTTAGAAATTTTGGAAAATCACAGTAGGTGACCATTATTTTTTGTCACTCCAATACTTCTAGAAAATCTGTCCCTTAACAAATAAACTCTCTTAACAAAAGCTACTTCAGCATTCTCTATATGATTACTGTGAGTACAAAGTAACAAATAAAATACAGGAAAGAAACCATGGATTCAGATGCATAGATACAATTTTGGTGTTATTTACACTGATTTGCACACATCCAAAGCAAAAAAGTCCTGTGCCTTTCAGGATAGATGGAACTTGCGTCCATGAAAAGCACAAAGATGAGGGCTAGAAATAATCTTTATCTACACTAACTACTTCTGTAATGCTCATCTTAGTGCTTCTATAAAATGGAAAAATAAAATAAAACAAAACCCAGAAATTAAGAAAGGGACATCTGGTCCATCATTGTTTTTAAGTTAGCAAGAGATGCAGTGCTGTGAAGAGTCTTGAATTTCTGTGGCTTAATGCTTCCTCTATACAAATTTAGAATTAAGCAGTTGAATCTGTGTTCTAATACAGAAATAAAAGCGGCTTGCTGCTATGATATTACTGATTTAATCATGTACTTTTAAATGTGTTGCTAAGTTTTAAGAAGATCCTCATCCTACCTAAATAGGAACATTGGTAGATGTGTCTTCCCCAAGACAAATTCTCAACCATTTTCAACTCCTCTTCCAGTTATTTCAAATTATGTTCCCTTATCACCTATGCACACAGCTGACAATGTCTGCATGGAGCATATGCTGTTGTATGGAGTGTTCTTACAAAGCTCCTGAATTGCTTGACAATGTGCTCTGATATTAAGCAAAGCCTTACAAAACTTTACTCCAGTGAGTAAAAACAATTTTGGTTTTAGAATCAGTTCTCATAAACCAGACTTAAAATCCTAAATGATAGAGAAGTTTGTTCCAGGAGCTCAGAAACTGAACATATAAGTGCAGATGTTACCTACTGATCTCTACTGCTGACTCTTATGCACATTTTTGGCTTGCTTTCCTCTTCCACATATTCTGCTGAAGAAGTCTAGCTCTAAACTGTTGTGTGGGATCAGTAAAAACTCTGCAACTGTGTAAATCCACACAGATTGGTACATCCTTCCACACTGCTCCATCTCTGGCCAAAGGAGCTCAGCCCAAAGGACAGCAGCGGCTATTATCCACAAGTTTTGAATATGACAGAGTTATACAGTCACAGAGTGATCTTCCACATAATCATGCCCCAGAAACAGACAAAATGGATACCCAGCTGACAGAAAAGGGCATCCTTCAAGTAGCCTGTGTCCTATCTGCAAAGCAATACATAGACAAGCAGAAAACAATAGTTTCTACCTGCAAATGGATGAGTTAAGTGACAAAAACAAAACCATCCTGGATTTCGAAATGCTATATAAAGGCTTATAAACCTAAACTATAACCCTTGGTTATCTTTCCAGTAGATAAGATTAGGCTCAGGCTACCAAGATGGCCTTACTTGCATGATTTCTGGCTTTTTGCAGAATGTGTTTTGCTAACAAAAATTTCCTTTAGA